GAGCCTGATCTGGTTGTAGGCCTAGTTATAGGTGCATAGTTTTGGAAAGCGACTTTCTTGAATTTTCAAATGCTTTTAGGCTTAAAAACTAGGGGGACGGGTATGAGGAGGAAGGATGACCTTCATAACACTATTTCCCAAATACATATTTGTTCTGCCATTACTTTGATGCACTGAACTTCAAACCTTAATACAATACATTAAAATCACTCCTAGCATAAATGTTAAGACAGGCAATCAACTTTTATATGGCTTAAAAAAACTTTATTGCTAAGAAGAGGATTGCTTTTTTTTAATTTAACTCCACTAAGGAGGGGTTAAAACACAGTATTTTCCAACACAGCTATACATTTATTACAAAATATTACATACATCCCATATTATTAATGATATTTCTAAGGCTGCAGACCAACTGAAGTGCATTGGAATTTAACACAGGACATGTATTCTGTTTGTCTTGTTCTATGCGGTCCCTGTAGTAACTAACTTGCTTTAAGTGCCACTTAGTCATAGGCCATTGAGTCTAATCCTAATACACTAATGTTGTACCTATAGTGTACTACTGTCACTAAGCAATCAGTGGAAAGGGACAAGGATTCCTTATGAGCATGGCTTTACTTCAGGGGAAAGCCTGCTCCTAAACATGAATAAAACATGTCTGAACACCCAGCCAGCCAACCCACCTTGCAATAGATTTTTTTTTAAAAAAAAGTTTTTAGGGATGAAAGCTGTCTTGCATGTACTCATCCCATTGAAACAGTAAAAAAGAAGACAGACATTTATTCTTCCAAAAACCTTTCAAAATGGCAAAGTATCATTCCATCTTATCATCAGCAATGTCAAGGCACTAGCCAGTTGATGCCTGGAACCATGACAGTATCAAGGAGCTTCTGTATAGAAATAGGCATTCCATGGCTGGATAGCAAGAATCAAAAAAATTCTAAGATACTAACCTTTATTCGGATGGGTAGAGCTTGTGGAGGAGGAGAAGTTACATTAAGAAGCTAGCATTGGACAACTTTGCGTGGCCAAGGATTCCTCCTCCTCCTCCTCCAAACCCAAACACACTCCAAACAGTGTGCTGATGATATGTTGACATCATGATAAAGAATTGGGACTGAAATTTGCACTTTTTGAAAGATTTGCTATTGGAAATTGTCTTAGCATGGAAGGATCTGTGTTGTGTCACCAGATTTCAGCAGTGTAAATTAAGGGACAGGGGCTTCCATGCACACACACACACACACACACACAAAAGGGGGAACCATGTGTGGCCTGTGAATCCAGGTTGCCCAGCCTGTCATGTGTACTTAAAGGGAAAACTTCCTGTTAAATAGATCATAGGCACAATCTACAACAGTAATAAACTACATGTCCTGGATTGTTGTGTGCACATATGCGCACAAGTATAAACTGACTCTCTTTTTAGTAGGGTTGTGTGAAAGAAATGAATATCAGCCTCTGAAAAAATATTCAGTGACAGCAGAAAGAGTTTGTGAAGGAAAACTGCTGACAGCTGCCACTGTTATCCAAACGCTTTCAGTCTCTGCAAAATTCTTCAACTGTTCATTCTGAGAAATATCGCCCAACTTTAGCTCATATTTCTCTTTGAACTTCATTCCATGACAATCAGTGTGTGTCAAATCTTGCCGAAACTGATTTTGTCGTCTTTGACACCTCTCAGGTGCATTTGTGCTTCATTGGAGCCTCTGGTTCTCCTAGAATTGCCAATTCTACCTGTCAGCTTTCACATTGCCAGAACAATTAAATAAATTAAAAGAAAGAATCCTGACCTCAGACTACTGTACAAAGTTGAGTTTCTTTGTTTTTCATGCATTAAATTAATACCCATCCTGGCAATCATTATCATCATAATCACTAAAGGGTTTGTTATGGTAAATGTCAAGCATTAACTTTCGGTTTTCAAGCTCCATGCTTCTTGACCAGCTGTTATCCTCCATGCTGTCAGACTGGCTCATTGCATCCTCTCTGGATTGACTACGTCGTTCAGTAGGATAGCTATCTTCCTCTTCTTTGGATTCACTGGTTTCTGCTGATTGGCTTTGTTGATCTTGCCCTTCTTCATTTGAATTACTGTCATCACTGCTGGCACTTTCTTCAGATAATTTGCTGCTCTCAGATGATGCACTTTGAGACAATCTGCTGTCATCCTTTGTATCTTCAGCTGATTCTTCACTCTCTTCCATAGAAGAACTCTTCTCACTTGATCTGCTGTGATGCCACTTGAATTCTCTGGATTCAGTGGCTCTTGGTGGCATGTTTCCTGATTTTTCAACAGAGTGACTTTCCTGATTTTTAGATTGGCTAGAACTGTGCTCATCTGATTCCTCTTCTGTCTCTTTAGACTTTTCCACAAAGTCTTTTTCTTGGGAACTTCTGGTATCTTCAGTGGATTCACTCTTTATATCTTCTTCAGATATTGTGTCTTCATCCTCTCTCGATTGCCTAGAGAGTTCTGTAGACTGACTGTGTACATCATCTTCCCTTGATTGGCTATGTTTGTCTTCTCTGGAATGGCTGCTTATGTTCTCTTTAGACTGGCTCTGACTATGCCCTCTGGTTTCATCTTCCCTGGACTGGCTGTGTTTATCATCTTCCCTGGACCGGCTGTGCTTATCATCTTCCCTGGACCGGCTGTGCTTATCATCTTCCCTGGACCGGCTGTGCATATCTTCTCTAGAATGGCTGTTGAAGTTCTCTCTAGATTGGCTGTGACTATGCCTCTTGGATAAACTCTCTACAGACTTCCCAGAATGACTGGTTGCATCTTCCCTGGACTGACTGGGAACATTTTCTGTTGATTGACTAATATCTTCTACAAGACGGCTGTCTACTTCAGAGTTATCATCATCTTCTTTCAAGGATTTGTTCTTTTCATATTCAGGGCTGTTATCTTCATCTGAATCACCATCAACATAATTATATACATTTCTGTCAAAATGTTCTATGGTTTTGCTCTGATGTATGGTTTCCCCTTTCCCCCTTTCTCTGCTGATTTCCTGGCTGCTTTCTTTTGAATGAACAGCCTCAGGAAGCATGTGGGAATCACTGTCAGGGCTCTCAAAAGCCCTTGGGTCATCTCCTTGCATTTCTTCACTTTGATAATCATATCTGTCTTCTTGGCTGCTACTGTAACTATCACCTCCATGTCGTCTGCCATAATCAATAATGTGGTTGTCATCTGTCTCAAGGTTTCTGCTTTCACTGCTGCTACTGCTGCTGCTGCTGCTGCTGCTACTATCATCAGAATGTTGACTTACAGTATTACCATCCTGTTCTCCATGAGTTGCTGGAGGTTGCAGAGCATCTACTTCACTTGGAGATTTAGTGTGCCCAGGATCTTCATCTAAAGAGTCATCACCACTGGTGTCTTCCTCAGTTGTTAGATCACTTCCTCCTTTCTCCACAAAAGTATAAAGGACTTGTTCTGGGGTATAAAGCATGCCATCATTCTCAACATCAAACTGTTCTTTGGATTCTTTGTTAGCCCCATAAAGGTGGCCTTCACTTTGGTCCTCCTGTGCCAGAAGACAAATAGGGAGGAAAACAACATAGGCTCATTTTAAGGTTTCATAGAATAATTGCAGCTCTTGCTTCTACCCACCTTCAATCACAAAAATGCATCTCATAGTATAGGGCATTATTTCCTACATTATTGAAGGGCCTCCCTAAAGCAATGGTCATAAAATCTATTTAATAATTTATATTTATACTGAAGTGGAACAGATGTGTTATGAATCATTCTTGTCTCTGAATAGCTGGTAGCTGCTTCCACTTCTTTTATCCCTCTTCATGTAGTCCTTGAAATCCATTTTGCAACTCCCAATCTTTCCCCAATCATAATGCCTAAAAAATAGGCATTATCATTTCATCTAAAGATAGGAAACATACCAAAACTGAACTCTGGCCCCTAAAATAGGCTTTATGCTGTTAAAAATGCAAAGAATCCTTGCAGTCATTCCTCAGACCTGAAAATATGGAAATCACAGTTCTGATAGTCTTCCCTAACCATTTGGCCTCCTTCCCCCTGTCCAAATTAACTGCATTTTGTATCATCAATGTTGACCATCCCTAGCTTCTGTTTTTCTAGGTTATTCCCAGGTTCTTGAGAATGCAGGGTAAATTTCTCATGATGCTTTTTGAGTGCATGTTACTGTTGAAGATGGCAGAGAGTGCTATTGCTGGCATTGTCATCTTCCATTAAGTATCTTTCCATCACTCTGAAACCTTCTTGGCTGACTATACTTTCCAATCTGGAAAAAAAAACCTTCAAAAGAGTTCCTTTATAATATCTCCACTTGGGAAGACTTACTGAAGGAGGGAAAGTGAGGAAGGCTTTCTGCAATCTGTTGGAGAGATCTCTGCATAATGAAAGATAGGACATTCTCATACCCCCTTAATTCCTGTCCCCCACCCCATAGCTAAAAAAGTGCAAGAACACTACCCACCACTACAATAATTTTTCTTACATGTTCTTCACCTTAAAAAAAAATGGAAAGCACCTTCTTTACTAGCATTTTGAATGAGAAGTGGGAGAAAAAATGCAGAATAGTATGTATGCATAGCTGTAATGTGGATATCTGAAGAAGACCCTTTAAATGCCATCTCTCATAAGAGGAACACCTATTCAGAAGCCTACTGATTATGGGCAAACAAATAGAGCAGGGCAAGCCCAACAGTGCTTCTATTAGGAGGGGCAGCAACATCATCTCCATCCCTGTTCAGAAACAATTAGTGCTATGAAGAGCTTTGGAGTCCAAGAAGAAAAGAAGCATCAGACCACGTGAGTCACTCACATAACACCTTAAAGCAGCTATGTCTTTCCCCCATGATCATATAGCTGCTAGCTGCAGATGCAGCACAATCCCAGGGAAAGATACCTTAAAATTGATTTAAGCAGTGACCAACAGAGGTTACATGTGCTCTGAAGCTCCTTTTTCGCCTAGAATCTAAAGTGTTGCAGGCCCAGACTAATGACTGACATTCATATGAAGAGGACTCTGATGGAACCAGAATTCAGTGGGGATAGAATGCAGCATAGCATAAAACTGGAAAATAATATAAGCAGGATGGTGATTATCTGGGGTGATGCTTTGGGTCTTCCATTTTATATTCAATGGGACAAATTAAGATGATGAAACTGTAATTTTTTCTTTCTAATGGGAAAATAATTCCACCCATTGCACTTCAGTGCTTATATAAGAATGTTGTGAAGACCTACCAATGACATTCTGCCAGCAGATTCATCATCAGAACTCTCCTCATTTATTTCCTGCTGGTGATCGTGGTTATGGGAATCCTTGCTGTCTGGCCATTTCCTATGGACCATTTGGGGTCTGAAATAACCTCCCTCTTCATTGTCTTGAGTGCTCCATTCATGATCATTTTCTGCAAAGCTCTCAAGGCTACTGCTGGAAACCTTCCTGGGGAAACTGTTCCTTTCACAATTTTCACAGCTGTTGTCTCCAAGTTCTTTCCTTCTGTCTTCTGTGCTTGAGCTTCGTCTGTTTCCTGCATCTTCATGGTCTGTGGAATCAGCTATCTTGTTCAAGCTTTCTTCAACTGAAATAGTCTATCCAAGAAATGGAAATAAAAGGACACATTGCTAGTTATATCTTGTACATATTCTTATGCTGAATATAGAAACAAGATAATCTTATTGTAATCCTAAGAACAGTTTAATATCAGATGTTTCAAGAAATACAGCACCTGATGATCTTCTGCTGGCAAGACAGAACTCAGAAAGGAGATGTTTTGCCACCCTTTTCATCTAAAGAATCTTATCTCATTGCTTACAATGATAGGGAATGTATCTGCAGCATTTTCAGGGCTAATATAGAATCTTGTCACACCAAAATCCTCTGGACTTGCAATGCATCCCCCATGAAGAGCAAGTCCAGTCCACTGACTCTCCATGTCAGTCTCATTACTACATTACTACACTCACTCAGTGTGAGCTGAGAGTCAGAGGGTGAGGTGAGGAAGTCTAACAACTTTCCTCCATGGCCATTTGGCTGAGCAAACAAAGAGCACTAGTCAGGCATTATACAGGCTCTGAATTTACATGGGTAGATAAACATTCTGTCTGATCAGCATCTTGCACATTGGAGCAGTACTGGCAGAAGCGGGAAAGTCCACCCCCTAGCAACCGTCAAAAGCCCCTGTGGCAGCTTTTTTTTTTCCCCACAAAGAAACAAAGCAAGAGAAAGATGCACAAGGGGGGAGGATGGGTGAGTGAGTAACAGAAAGGATAAGTGAGACGTGAGCAGTAGAGTGAACAATGAAGCAAAACAGTAGAGGAGGTGACAGACTGCCTGAATAGTGGAACAAGCAATGGAGCAGGTAAGTGACAGAGCAAGAGATAGATCAAGTGACCAATAGAATGAGATAGAATGAGCAAGACAGCACAAGAGAACAAGTGAGGGAGGAAGACCAGTGGGCGAAAGTAGGCAGGAAAGAATGAGAGAGAGAGAGAGAGAGAGAGAGAGAGAGAGAGACTGTGCAATGGAGAAACATCAAAAGAACAAAAGAGATCATCTGCAAGGTAAGCATAGGCTGCAGCCCTTGATCTACAGGGTAAGTGGTAACTCTCCTGCTTTCACTGGGAAGCCCCCACTGACCCTGTTGTGACTTAAATTATTCATGACTGGCTTTACTTAAATGGGGCTGCTGTAAGGGCGACCATCTGAACCCAACTCTCTTATGTAGATATTCCCACTCTCTGGCCCTAGAGGACTTATGCAGAAGCTGCTACCTAAGAAACATCATCAAAGGAAGACTTGCTTTATTCACAGGTCAAGTTCCAGCTGCTCACCTACCATTCCCTTAGAAACCATAAGTGCAAACATAAGCCTAACAGAATTACAGAAGCTCTTCAACCAGGATAGAAAATGTTGCTTCAATTATGCTGCTGCCATGCAGCCCCTATGTGATTTCACTGGCATTACAACTCAGAATGTTGGGGGTTCACTGAGTTGGCTTAGTTTGTGTAGCCACGTCCTTTCCTGTCTTTGATTTCCAAAATAATTTTGTGACCGAAATTGAGAAAATATAGTGATGTTGATTTACTTACCCAGTGTTCTTTGGAGCTGCTGTGGTGTGCACCTGGATATCTGGATATCTGAAAATATTAGAAAGAAGAATCATATTACTGTCCATCATTGCGAGGTACCCAGAGTTTGGTTTTAAGAAGGGTGGCTATACAATGTTATAAATAAATAAGCAAACAAATCTCTTAAAAAGGAACTTGGCTCAGAGAGGCAAAGTTCAAACTTTCAGAAGAATATGTTGAACCACCCTAACACTTTAAAGAGTACTTACAGGACGAGCCCAGCAAAGAGACCATAATGAGATGAGCAAGAGACCAGTTGTCTTCATTTTTATTTTAGGATGTCTGTAACAACAAAAGAAATGTTCCCAAGTTACACTCAGCCCTTGATTATAGCAGTGGAAGGGATCTCTTATTGTTACTTTCTTTTTCTTGTGTTGAGATATGTCTTAGCTCATTCAGGGCAAAAAGGCTCTGTTGACAGAATGGCACAAGTAAATGATAAATCCACTGGTGAGTCAAGTCAGCTTTGATCCATGGGCTGCCAGATATAGCTTCCCAAGACACAATTTTCAGAAACATTGTGCCATATTTACTATAGGAAGACAAGGACTTTTCCTCCCAGATAATTATCTGTGAATTGGGAAAGATGTTGAAAAGTGTGAATACCTTTGAAGTCTAGTCCTTTGAAGTTTAGCCATGGCTAAGGAGGAGGCTCCTTTCTTATGGAATTTAAACCCTTTTTATGACAGCTAAACAGGACTTCTCTTTCTTTTATTTCTTTGTCCAATAACCTCTTTCATCACCTTATCTCCTTCCGATTTTGCTTCTCTCTTTTTTTCCCTTTCTCACCCCTTTCTCTGACTACATCTCCATCCTATTTTTCTTCTTTTTAGCTGTTTCTGTTGGAAAGAGGGAGGGAAATTGGTGCATATGTGTATATGTTTATGCGTGTGTGGATATTTGCGCATTTGTGGATATGTGGTATATATGTAAGAGAGAATGGTTGCTATGTGCAGTTGGGGACACCAATTAATTTTAAAATGAACATTTACAAATTAAAATTCTTAGTTTACATATAACTAATTTTAATCAATAGGTATTACTTCAATTACTATTAATTTATTTATTCTTTGTCCTGGCCCTGTCTTTTTCTGGAGTTCTGGATTTCTGACAGGTATACCTACATATAGACACACAAAAGTGAACTATTGAAGTAGGGAAGTTGGGCACTGCACAAGATTTTTACTGTTTTTAATTTATTTTCTGTTTCTTCATGGAGAGAGCTTCTTAAATTCAGGGCTTACCTTTAAGCATCTTAAATGCATTTTAAATTTTAGGTTAGTGGAGAGAATGCATGCAGAAATCCACCTTCTTATTAGCAAGCTGTGTTCTTCCTTGAAGAACACTAATGTTGATAGTTTGTCAGAGACTGAATAGTAGAAATGTTGTTTATTTCCCCAATACTTTCACCAACTTTTAGTTATAGGCTGGAAATGCTGAAAAGACTCCATAAACACATGGACCAACACCTACATTAGTCACAATTGTTGGTGTCCTTTAGACAGAACTCCATACACACCTCACACCTTGTAATGTCAATTACAACTTGCTCATATACACATAGAAAGTGTGCACAACTATCAAACTACTGATTGTACTTCCATGATCATGGTAACAGAGAAGTGAACATCATATATGTTTGTATGTACACAGGTTCATATGTACATGGTCTTTTCATAATTCACTGAGAACAATTTTAATGGTTGTCTGGAAAATAAATTTATAGGCACCCTAGTGCCATAAATTAGACCTGCCTTTTCCCTCCACATACACAACCTACAGAAATTTTATTTTGTTGACTTAAATTTTGTCCAACCAAAATCAGTGAACGTATAAGTTTTTCCCTTGTTCCATAAATTGATACCTAGGAATAAATTTTCCTGCTTCTGAAAGCCACCCACATCTTCTATAGAAATAATTGGTTATATCACACATGCTTCTCTTGTTTACTGTAGCATCAGGTAACGACTTCCACATATTTTCTATCACAGATTAATAATGTTTAATTGATTATTAATAATAACCTTTGGCTAAGACTCATCAATTAAGGTGAAAGATAGGAAACAGTGAGCAGAAATATATGAATCATCCTTAAGTCCACCAATACATTTAGCTGAGGGGCAATACATAATTCCACAGTTAATAATGAAATCAAAATAAATCTTATTCACAGAGGTGAAATTAATTTATATTCAAAATCCATTGGTTTTTGTTTGCACCCATTCAAATTTTATTTTCGTTTTTTTAAATTATAATTGTTCAATATTTTAAATTATTAATTATCAAAATGATTTTAAAATGTTACTTTTTAAAAGAAAGTCTTCTTTGAGGCTCCTATTCTAATCTTTGACATGTACAGACTGGAAAAATGAGATAATTAAAGCTATAAGATTTATAGGCTTTGCAGTTAATAATAATCAACTTATTCCCTAATTTCTCTCGCTAACACACACCAGCAGGTGTTTTCTGTATTAGCTTTTATTCTTAACGATTTCAGAACGAAAGAAGGAATTATTATTTTTTACCTTTGCTTATTCCAATGGCTTGCTCCAGAAGTCCTTGTCTTAAAAAAAAACAAAAACCTCCGTATAGCAGAAAAATATTGAATCTTATTTTCAAATATCAGGTTTTGGTATCCTCTATGACAGTGCATGAATTTAAACTCTGCCGCAGTTAAGACAGGACCAATCAGCTGTCTTGGGAAAGAGGGTGATGTCATCAGTTGTCACCATCTATCCAGCCTGCCTACGCTTCCCTCCTGCCTCCAGAAGGATAGTTTTCCTAAAAATAATCTGTGGTTCTCAAAATGACTAGACTAGTTTTCTTTTAATGAGAGATCTCACTAAGGGTTCATTTGGCTTTCTAAAATTATGCTGTTTCACATGAAGGCAGGTTTATGAGTATAAACAATTGCAATGTCACCCCTGTATAGAGCCAAGATACTGTCATACCAGAAACAAGGATGCTTCCTGCTAACATACGTGTTGTACAAACCATGGGTTTGTCTTGAAATGCTCTCAAGAACTGCTTTCCATAACATTATTTAAGGGCTATCATATCTTCTGACTTGACAGCCACTATGTAAGAAGGTACTTGGAATACCTTTCAAATTAAATTGCAATTGTTGATTTTTTTCCCTTTATAACACTAACACAACAAAACTGTATGTTTGCTGTAGACAGATACGCAGAAGTGGGCAGTTTCAGCTGGGATTTTATCGATATTTCCATTGCGGCTGTTTTCATTGCTGAAGAGTCAAGCCATTTTGGAAATCTGGCTTTAATGCTCACTCCAAAAAGTAGAGGAGACATACTGAATGGCTTTGAATAATATCTGGAAATAAATCTACAACTGAACAAACACTCTCACTAACTCTGTATTAGACTTCTTTAAACTATGGTACTAAAGTACCTTGAAATTTGTCAAACTTCAGGTCCCAGAATTCTCAGTGTGGTTGGTGGGAACATGGAGAGCAACACATCTGGAAGACATAGATTGGGAAAGGTCACTGTTGTAAGTTAAAGTGATCTTTATTCACAGTGATCTCCTACATTCCTGAAACACTCATCCTTAGGTTAATAAATGCACAATGAAGTACTGTAGTAAGGAGCTTGAGGAATTTGAAACTGATGCAATCCAGGTTTTGTGCATTCATGGCTGAATGAGGAAATAGTTATCCATCAAATTTTGAATTTCGTCCACTGCTGACATGTATTTTGAGCTATGTTTAAAATGCATATTTAAATGCATGATTTTAAAAAGTCATGGTTTAATGTGGAAATAGGACAAAAAGGAATGAATCAATGTGAATATGACAAGACCCTTTCTAGAAGATTTGTCTATGGCTATGAAGAGACACTAGGAAGCCTCACACCACCAACTGCACCCAGCTGGATTGAAATAAAACTTGGCCACATCCTGTTAGTGAGACATGAGGAACTGAGGCAGAGAACTACTTAACCAAGTAGAAGGAGAACAGGGAGAGCAACAAGCAGTTTCCTCACTTCCCCACGCAGAGCTCAGCCACTTCCTTGTAACACCCACAAAGAATGTTAGGAATAGCTGCCAGGAAGGGCTTCTCCCAGGCTGGTTTGAAAAGCCAAATTTTCTGACCCATTATGGGGACAAGCTTTCAAAAAAACTTAAAACATCACTAATGGTCCTCAGAAAGGTTCTTACCACAAAAACTGGAAATTGGTTTCTCTTTGTCCAGCTTGCAACTTGGACAGTCCTCCATCACACTTCTCCTCAATTTTTTTTTTTAATGTTATCAATTTTTATTAACTGTTGGTTCTGATAGGGTGAAGTTTAGCTGTGGTGCCAGCTCTTTTTCGTTTTTTGTCTTATTGTTTTCATTGTTGGTATATATTTCATTGTTTCATTGTTGGTATATATTACTTTTATTCTTGGGTTGTGAGCCACACAGAGTTTAATTTAAGATGGGCATGTTTTAAACAAACGAACAAAGTATAGTTTATTATGAGAATCCTGCTATAAGGTGGAACTGCAACTTAGTGGTTAAACCATGGTTGACAGGATGAATGGTCTTGATTCAAATCTTAATATTTCCAGTTTATGAAGGGCAGAGCTTAAGAGATGGTATGAAGGATTATTTTAGGGTGAAATGAAAACATGCGTAACATGGCAAGAACTTAACCACCATATATATAAGCTGAGTTTGCGCACTGTTCTCTGTTATATTATGGTTTGTTTGTTGTTAGCTTGCAAGTTGTATGAATCCAACTAGCATATATTGTAAGGTTTTATGGCTTAGTCTGCTGTGTGATCTCAACTAATTGTGGTTCATTGAATAAGACTGGGTTTACAGATGCTGAAACATGTTTTTAATTATGGCTCGTTGAATAAATCACAATTGCATGAGATACTTGTTTAGAAGGCCAGGTTAGGGCCAATTTCAAACCACATTTGATCATGGAATTGGCACCCATCTGGTTATCGCATAGTAACACCAAGATCTCTTCACAGTTGCAGTTTACATACTGTGCACATTGGACGTCTCCTGTGATAAATAAAAGAGGTTTATAGCATGGGTTTGCGTGCCAAAGACAGCAGACTCATTTCCGCAGCTGCATGTTTATCCTGTTCTGATAATTATGAGGTTTAGAATATAAAAAGAACAAATGCTCTTAAAATATATTTTTCATACCTTAACGTGGTACTCAGACACAGACTGTTGAATCTGGTTGATTTTTTCTTCCACAGTGAATTTCTCAGACACACCTTCTGCAATAGCATCTGGCACTATTTCTTAGCCAGGCCAGAGTTCAAAAAATATTTTATATCTATGGCTTCTTGGGCTATGAAGAACACCCCCTTTTCAAACCTTTCCCCTATCACCCAATCATTAATATTATCAATTTCAGGTCAGCTCTAAAAAGAAATGGCAAAGCATGGCATAATAAACCAGTGGGAAAGTTCTTGATTGAGGTAAAATACCTTTGCTGAAGGATGTCAGTTTTGGAAAATCTGATTCTAAATTGGGAGTTTTTGTGACTGAATAGAGATGGTCAAATCTGCCAATCTGAATTTCTCTGTTTTTACAAAACTAATAATTTTGATTTCTCCCAGACTATATATTTTAATTCAAAATACAATTCATTCTATTCCTACAGTATATTAAGCTGAGAACTTTGGATCTTTGTAGCATTAATTTAAATATCTGTATTTTTGTACACAACATGCACTTTTTGCAGAACAAAAACCCTCTAATACAATACATTTTAACATTATTTTCTTTTGGGGCTGACATTTCTCTATACATTTTTTTCCAGTTAGTGAATGATATTGCATAATTCAGAGATGAAATATTTAAGCTTTGTACAAAATACAATATTAGATAAGTCTATATTCCAAAGCAAATTAAACAAAGTGCTCCCTATCCAAATGAATCAATGGGAACAAGTGTTTTAAACAAACAAACAAACAAACAAAAATCATACTCAGGCTTTTTTTAAATTTTATTTTGCTTTCCCCTATATTAAAGTAAGTTCAAAATGCTATAAGCCTCCAAGGTTTTGGGTGGGGTATTTTTCTGAAAATTTGAATCTGTTGCTACAGCTGTTGAGAGTTGGTCTTTTCCTTCAGAAGGACCAATCAGTCTCTGAGTAGGAGTGAGGAACAAGATAGAAAAGCACCATAAAAGAACTTGTTCTGAAAGAAGAACAAAACTGGTGGATTTTATAATATCTGTTCAACTGCTGTGCTTATGAACATGCCTACTCTTTAGAGCAAAAGTCAGCAATCTCTAGCTTTCAAACACAGCTCATCCTTCAATATTGGTCATACAAGGAGGAATTACAGGACTTAGAATTCAACATCTGAAGGAGCCCAGAATATCTGTCCTTGCATTAAAAGAAACAGAGAAAAAATGGAAACCACCCGGTTTTAAAGATACTTATTGGATATACCAGATCCAAGAATCTAGATTTTCAGTTTCAGCACTCACCAAATTCTGTCTGAATTGGATTGCCACTTGAAAATGTTCCTTGTAAATAAAGGGACTATCTAGGAAGAGATTTTGGGGTCATCAGGCAAAAGGCATTTTTCAGCTTTTTCTTTTGTTTCTGCCTTAATAAGAGCTTACCCTAAGAAAAAGATAAACTCAAGGCGGCTTACAAATAAAAGTCACCTTCCATGTCTAAAGCAGGACCTTTATGTAATAAAAGCTCTGCATGGAAACTAAGTTGTATCAAATAGTGCTTCCCCTGACAAATTATATTTAAGATAAGATTCCTGGATGCAGAGAAGACATTATAGCCTCTGCCCATGGATAAATGTATGCAGTTTAATCCTTTTTCTATTTTGAATCAGAGAGTAAAAATTGGGTGAGCCATTCCCAAGAAATATTCATGAGACACCATGAAAAATAATAATTTATTTTATAGTTTACACGGGGTATATGTGGAGTTAAACATGTGATGTTGGAGCCATAATACTAAACAAGTAAACAAATCAGATCCATGGAAATTGTTCACAGATCCACACTGGATTGTTCACAGGAGATATATCAGTAAAGGCTCATTCACACTTGCAAGCCATCACTTCACGTTGCAATCAAGTAATGAATGTTCTTATGTAAATTAACCCCACCCTTTTATGAGCAGACATGTAATATGAAGACTTGAACTGGAGGTTTAATTTTATTTTCTATTTACTGACAATCAAAATTCCACTCGGTGAAGCTACATAATTCATTGCAAGCAAAGTGGCTGTACTTAGAAACAAGAGCTCTGAGCATTGTTGACTCATGTCTATCAGAACTTGACATGGTTTTCTCTTAATATCTCTCTAATTTGCGTTAACTGCACTTCCTCTGAAGTCTGATGGATTTTTAGAAAAGCTTTCAGATAACCAGGTTTAGGACTATAGACTTGGCTTCTACAAATTGGCTTCGGGTTTTTTTCCCCCCTCTGCCATCACAATAGTTCCCATTGCTGTAAAATATTGTCATTTGATCGTTCTTCTCTTTTGGTCAGTAATCACTGGTTAAATCATTGCTGTCACTTCCTTCACTTACAGACTCACTTTTAGAGCCTGCACTGTCTGGCTGAGCACTGCTGCTATCATCCTCGCTTGCTTCCGATTCAGTTTCGTTTGAATTCTCCGTTGTATCTGCAGCACTGTCACTGCTGGACTGGCTTGCTGAATCACTCTCATTGTCACTGTCGGACTGGCTGTCATTTTCACTGCTGCCTGCTTGAGGGTTACCATCATTCTCACTGCTACTCTCAGAATCGCTCTCGCTGCTGCTGCTGCTATCACTTTCACTGCTGCTGTCAGATTTGCTGTCACTCTCACTGCTGCTGCTGCTATCACTCTCACTGCTACTACTGTTGCTCTCACTGCTGCTACTGCTATCGCTCTCACTGCTGCTCTTGGAGTCACTGTCGCTCTCACTGCTGCTACTGCTATCGCTCTCACTGCTGCTCTTGGAGTCACTGTCGCTCTCACTGCTGCTACTGCTATCGCTCTCACTGCTGCTCTTGGAGTCACTGTCGCTCTCACTGCTGCT